CACACTCCTGGGCAAGCAAGCGGCGCAGGAAGGCCCGATCCTGGCTCTGCCTCACAGCTTCTACCACGTCTCCCAATTCATAGTTCCTGGGTGTCTCCTGCAGCAGCGACAGTGCTAGCTCTGCCCGGCCCCAGCTGGGGAGTGCATAGACTGCCAAAAGCCGTCTGACCAGGCTCTGCAATGTGATTGAGCAGGAAGAAGTGACTGTCAGACCTCAGGGATCCGCCTTCTCAGCCTTCCCTCTTGCTCCTCTAGATGCTCTCTTGGGCTCCTTGCCTCCTCCCAGCACCTGCTTGTCTGGCCCATCCCACGAGGGAGTGGGCTCAGGGCCACTGTCCCAGAGGCGTTGGCGGAAGGGCTCTAGACGCTGGCGTTGTAGCTCAGTCAGGGCCCGTGTCACGTCACCTCCATGCTGGAACAATGCCTGAAGAGACCCCTCCTCAGGCCCAAAGCCGAGGGACCGGAGCTCCTGCACCTGCAAGATGGGAACAGAGAGAGGGAATGAGGGAAAAGCAAGTAAGGGAGAGTGTGAGAGACTCTGAGACTCTCAATTCTGTCCCACCTCCAGCACAGTCGATACCTTCCTCCGCCGGGTTCTCACACACTCCTCCACAGCTTCATCAAGGTTTCCGTGACGGTCTAGCCAGGCTTTCCGGGCTTCCTGACAGGAAAAGGCACCCAACCCAGGGTTCTGCTGTCCAGCCAGCTCAGTCACCATCTCCAGCACGTAGGGCAGCTCTGAGTGCAACCACTGCAGGGGTACCTCAGTGCCTGAGTACTGCAGAGCCGAGAAGACTTCCTCTGGACAGGCACCTGCAGCTTCCCCTTCCTAAGGCACAGTTCCACCTATCAGGCCCATTAGGCCCATCAGAAAGGGACCCCTCTACCCAGTATCAGCCTGAACCAAGATGTTGACAGTGGGTGAGCTCAGACACTTAGATATGTAACCACTACATACACAGCATAGTGACTGCCATGTGGGAAGTGTTCTATAATAGGCAGCTGCTGCTAACAATGACAAGTTTTGTAAGAACTCCTATTAACCAATTGTAGTATCCCCCCCGACCCCCGCCCCACCAGCTCAGCCCCACCTCATCCAAGGCCCAGTCCTTACCCGGACCATGATTACCAGCTGAAGACCTTCTTCACGCATCTTGTCTTGGCGCTGTTTCTCAAGGTCTCCACAGGAACTAGGCAGGGGGGCACTGAGGCATTGTGGGGGCCCAGGCTTAGGGAGTCCCTTTTCCAAAGAGCTGGCATGGGGCCTGGGGGCAGGCTGTACTGGGGTGGGGCTGCTGGTCCGGTTGCACATAACACACACCCAGCCAGGGCCCGTGTTGCAGAAGGTACAGTGAATACAGTACCAGACTTGAGTCTGAGCAGAAGAGAGCAAAGTATCCCCCTGCTGGGAAGGCAGAGAGAATTATCCCTTTGACTGGCTGGCTGAGGTTCACAATGGAAGTATAGGGAGCAGGGGCAACTGAAGGAAAATGGGATGGGGAAGTAGAAAACGGCCTGAGGTAAGATGTGCAATAAAGAGATGGGAAGGCCAAGAACAGGTTACCTGAAGGAGCTGCAGACAAATGTCACCATCCTGGGAATCCACCACCAAGCTGGGAGGCTGGGCCAGCCGAGGTCGCTCACACATGGCACATAGCACAGCTGCTGCCTCATTCTCAAAGGTACAGCTCTGGCAGGCCCACCGACCCCGTGCAAGTTCAGGTTCTAGGCCCCCAGTTCCTTGGGGATCCTGGATTCCTGGTCCCAATCCCTTACAGCCTCGGGGCCGATGACAGGTCACACAGAGCACTGCCCAAGGCTCATTTAGCATGGCACAGGCAGCACAGTGCCAGGGCAAACGAACACTTGCAGGATCAGATGAAGAAAGACAGCTGTCTCCCATGGCGAGTAAAGAGGTTGGCTGGGGTCGTGATTGGCTGGAGGAGGCAGATAAACTGTAATGAAAAGCAGATATGGCCTGTTGAGGTGGGACCTGGTGCCAGGGTCCCTTACCTCCAGGCATCCCCCATTTCCCACATGTTGTCTCTGTCTCAAACACTTCCATACCCATAGCCTGTGCAACATTTATTTTGTTTGTTTTTTTGAGTCGGAGTCTGTCGCTCAGGTTGGAGTGCAGTGGCACGCTCACAGACAGTGCAGCCTCGACCCGCTGGGCTCAGGTGATCCTTCTGCCTCAGCCTTCCAAGTAGCTGGAACTACAGGCATGTGCCACCATGCCTGGCTAAGTTTTCTTGCTTTATTGTAGAGTCAAGGTCTTACCAAGTTGTCCAGACTGTTCTCAAACCTCTGTGCTCAAGCAATCCTCTTGCCTCGGCCTCCCAAAGTGCTGGGATTACAGGCGTGAGCCACCACACTTAGCTTCTGTGCAACATTTAAATGACAGCTTAAAGCTCACTTCTTTCTGGTAGATATCCCTAATAGAGGGTCTGACCCATACTAGGTGTTTAAAATACTTCCAACTGGTTGAGTTGATCCTTCAGACTACACTACCATCCACCTACTACTCATGTGTACACCATAATAACCTATTGTGTCTGCTAACTGCTTATCTCCTTAAGTGCTGTTGTGACTGGCTCCTTGTCCTCTATCAGTTTTTAGCACAGAACCTGATACATAATAGATAATCAAATGATCTTAAGTTCTCTAAATTTTACTTCTATCCAGAAGAGAAGGCCTCTCACCTGGGGCTCAGGTGGGTGGTCTGGAGGTTCCCAGGCAAAGTCTGGCGGAGGTGATGAGCCCGGGATGGGTGTCCATGGAACAGGTGGTCACAGGCTGGGCACAAGGCCTGTTTACAGGATGGGCAGTACAGTATGCCTGGGGCAGAACCACAGAGGAAGCAGGGACCAGGAGTGGAGGCTGAAAAACAGGAGAGAAAGAATAGAACATCTTCCTAAAAAGACCAGGTTACATCTGAATATGTTATGGATGAAGGCAAATCACAAGACTACTTTTCAACACATCTGGACTCGAGGAAACAATTGTATATTCTTGTAAGAACAAAAGAAGCTAACCAAGGAGATAGATAAAGGAGGGTCCCAAATTTCCATCAATATTGTCTACTACTTCTCACTCCTCTCCCCAAGACCAATAATACCTGGGACAGAAGATGTGGTGAGGGTGCCAGGAGCAATCTCTCTTAGTAGGGGGTCAAACTCTGAAAGCTGCAGCATCTGAGGAAGAAAGGTCAGGGAATGCACAGGGTTTAGGGACCCAGAGGTCCCACAATTCCTGTTCCCTTTTTTCACCAGCCCCATTCCTGCCTTCCTTACATCATCTTCAACCTTGTCTTCCAGCAGCTGTTCCAGTGCCTGCTGTCTTGGATGGGTATTCTGCAAACAGATAAAAATGGTTTCCACCTTGAGCCCTAGACCAAAGCCCTCCCTCTAAGCCCCTGTACGTTAACATTCACAGCGAGAACAGTACCAGGAACTCCCAGCATGCTAAACTACACCCATAGTTTAGCAGCAAGGGGGTTCTCAGAGTGACATGAGTTAGGCTGGGTTCTCTAGTGTTAAGTCACCAAGACCAGAGGAGCATCTCACCTGCAATAGCAGACTGAGCTCTGTCCGAAGCAGCAGTACGTCCAGTGTGACTGCAGCAACCTGATGCTCATTTGGTTCCTCTTGGCCCTCGGGGAAGCTCAACCCATCTGGCTGCTCCTCCGTGTAGCCATACAATCGTAGCACATCCCGTCCCCCCTGCCACACATTCACAGTCACTGTTCAGTAGGACCCCTTCCCGGTAGGACTGGACCCTTTCCCATTCAGCACAGCCTTTCTAACCCAGGCACCGTCCCTTCTCCCATAAGGCCCAGGGGATTCACCTGTACAGAATCCACCGTGCTGCGAAAGACAGGGTTATTAAACTTGACCCCTCGCCAGTAACGGGGCCGTTGAGGACTGAGGAGGTTGCGGCCATATTTCTCCAGGATGTTCAGGGCCGTGGACAGGGTGCTGAGGTAGTTTTGGGGCTGGGAGCAGTTAGAAGAGAGCAGAGAGTTGTGAGCTCGGCCCCGGCCTCAGGCACCATGTCCCCCTTCCAAGCGGGGCCGGGCCTCACCTCCCCACGAGCGTTGCAGCGGACCAGGCGTGCGGCGTCCAGCTGCAGGTAGCGGGCGGCTGGCGGCAGAGAGCTGGCCAGCAGCGGCCGGAGCTGCTCCAGGGAAAACATTTGCCCAGAATCCTTCCTCAGGGCGCTCGCCAGCTCCTCGCGGGCCGCCCAGAAGGCCCGCTCCTCCTCCTCCCCCGGCATCCTGAGACAGGAGTCAGCCCCAGCCCTGTTGCCCGCCAGGGTCCGGCGCGGGCTGCGCGCGACACTCCCGCCGCCCCTCCCGCTTGGTGCCCGGCTCCGAGGCCTGACCGGGTCTGCGCGGCCGCTCCGTGTCACTCACGCCACGGTCGCCCTCCGGCCCCCGGCCCACCGCCAGGGTCAGCCGGGAACAGGAAGTGCTAGGAAAGAAGGCGGGACCGCGACCCGGTTTCAGAGGAAGAGGAGGGGATTAAGGTTAAGGAAGGGGAGGGGCGAGAGACCAGAGGGCGTGGCCAAAGAGGAGGCCAGGTTTCCAACCAATGAGAAAGGAGAGGACCCCTGACTCCTCCCTCTTGACGTCACGGTAATTCCCCCTCGTTCAAGAGCTCGTCCCCGGCTTTCTCTGGTCTGGTTCCGCCCCTTCCGGAGAGCCCCAGGCGCGGGGCTCTCCCAGTTAGCTCAAAGCCTTCCCCTTTCTCTCCCTAGTAGTCTGCCTGTCTTCCTTGGTCCTCACCGGGGAAGTCCCACCCTGCCGGGGACCCGAGTCTGGCCAGCCCTATAACCCTCTCAAGAGTCCTGCCCCCTCTCGGGTCTGTTCTGAAGGCAGGGAAAAAGCCCACTTCCCACCCCCTCCTGCTCCCTTCCACATCCTGCTAGCCCTTCTCCGTCCCAGGCGCTCCCTCTTTTACTACCCCTCCCACTCGCTCACATCTCTCCACGCCCTCCTCGCGGTTGAGTCTTATAGGGAAGCCCATCACTGGATAGCCCCTTTCCCATACTCCCCCCCTTCTTACCCCAGCCCACGACTTCCCGTTGGCCCTCGTTATAAGCCCTGCCCCGCTCTGCGAAGGACAGCCCACTTGTTCCCGTCTCCGCGGTCCCGCTCGCCCTAGCCCCTCCCTTGGACAGCCCCTGGGCTTGTGACCCAGCCAGCACCGCCTCTCCTAGTGGCGACTGGCTGGGAATGGCTGAGGGGCTACCTACTGTCTGCGTTCTGCCAGGCGGGGGACGGACCGAAGAAAGGGGGCGGGGTTGAGGGGGGCGGGTCTGGACCTGGGGAGTGAAAGCGAAAGCCCGAGCTACTAGCTAGGAGACCAGAGGTCTAGCAACTTGGAGCAGCATGGCCAAGCTCTGTGGGGTGCGCCTGAGTGGGGAAGCCCGCAAACAGGTAACGGGGAACCGGAGGTCGGGAAGGGGCCGGAGAACCCTCCAGGATGGAAGCCAAGCTGGGTGATCGAGGGGACCAAGGCAGTGCAAGAGAACTCCCTCAACCTTTTAATGCATTCACTTCTGCCCGGGGATTCCCAGGTTCCTGTCCTCTGGCCACTCTCTGCACTGAGCAGGGCCTCTGAAAAAACTGGTTTGTGGTGGGAAAGGCCCGAGGTACAGTTGAAGGGCACCCCATTGGGAGTGGATCTTTCTCTTGACAACCCAGACCCTTAACCAACATCCGGGTACTATTCTCTGTGTAGGTGGATGTCTTCAGGCAAAATCTTTTCCAGGAGGTAAGTCTCTGAGTTAAAGCGATTTGATCCAGAATCTTAGAACAATACTTGAGGGTCACAACCTCTCAGAGTAACCCCTAAACTCACTCTTACTACCCTTAGCAAGACTTCACCCAAGGTGAGCTCCTGGTTATTTTAATCTAGCTTTAGTCTGACGCCTCTTACAACTCTCCCTCCTCCTGGCACCTCCCCTCCCCTCCCCTCTTTTGATGTGAAGGTAAGAGCGGTGGCCCTAAAGGCAGGAATGCTGTAGTCCTAACCATGGTTCTGCCACTTACCACCTTGGACAAGTTCCTTCATTTTCAGGGTTTCAGTTTCCTCGTTTGTAAATCTTGGACTCAGTGATATCTTTCTCTTTTTTTGAGTTGGAGTTTCACTCTGTCGCCCAGGCTGGAGGACAGTGGCACGCTCCTGGCCACTGCAGCCTCGACCTGCTGGGCTCAGGTGATCCTTCGCCTCCACTTTCCAAGTAGCTGGAACTACATCACGCCCGGCTAGTTTTTTGATTTATTGTAGAGACGAGGTCCCGCCAAGTTGCCCAGGCTGGTCTCGAACCTGTGGGCTCAGGCAGTCCTCTCACCTTGGCCTCCCAAAGTGCTGGGATTATAGGCATGAGCCACTGTGCCTGACCTGGACTCAATAATTTCTAAGGGCTCTTCCAGTTCTACTTCTCAGGCATCAGATTGAACATCTGTGATTTCCCACAGGCTGAGGAATTTCTCTACAGTTTATTGCCACAGAAAATCCTATACCTGAATCAGCTCTTGCAAGTGAGTAGTTTGGACCCCTCCTGCCCTATCTTGTGTCTGCTATCTCCTCCAGCTACCCTCTCTAGCTAACAACTGGGCTCAGCATGCAGAAAATTGTTGTAAATGGTGGAACAGGAACCTTAGGATATTGTGAGCTCTGAGTCTAGGTTGGGAGGCAGAGAGCAGGTGGAATACGTGGAGAGAAGGCTATGGCTTAGGGAGAAGGGAAGAGGCTGGGCAGCCTCTGACAGTGAACTCTGTGCAGGAGGATTCCTTCAATGTGGCTGACCTGACCTCCCTCCGGGCCCCTCTGGACATCCCCATCCCAGACCCCCCACCCAAGGATGATGAGGTGAGGCCCTCAGGGTGCAGGCAGTAAAACCAATGGAGATGACAGCCCTTCAACCTCTATGATTTTTCTAAAGCTACTTTCTCCCTTTTTGCCTTAGATGGAAACAGATAAGCAGGAGAAGAAAAAAGAAGGTAAAGGAAGAAGGGGTGACTAGGGAAGGGGAAATGGTACATTGCTGCATGAGAAAGGGCTTGAATACCTTCTTTCTCACAGTCCCTAAGTGTGGATTTCTCCCTGGGAATGAGAAGGTCCTTTCCCTGCTTGCCCTGGTTAAGCCAGAAGTCTGGACTCTTAAAGAGAAATGCATTCTGGTAAGCCTGCGGACTGGGGGAAGTGGAAAGAGAAAACAGGCAAGGCCAGGTCCTGGTCTTCCTCCGAGATACGAGTCCTTCATTGAGAGACTTAGTCCTGAAAAAAAGACTCTTCCTTCTGTGCCTTGGGTTTAGATCCCCTTTCTTTTCCTTATTCTGTTAGACCTCTGGTATCACAATGGTGTGCCCAAAGTCAAAGTCTGTGCTGTATCTCCTCTATAGCTTGAGAACCTGTTGTATCAGGTACACAGTGGAGATGGTGTGGTATAGTGAGTTGGTTTAAAACCTTGGAACATTGGCCGGGCGCGGTGGCTCATGCCTATAATCCCAGCACTTTGGGAGCTGAGGTAGGAGGATCACTTCAGGCCAGGAGTTCAAGACCAGCCTGTACAAGACCCTGTAACACTATAAGAAATAAAAAATAAGGGCCAGGTACGGTGGCTCACACCTGTAATCCCAGTACTTTGGGAGGCCAAGGTGAGGTTTGCCTGAGCCCAGGGGTTTGAGACCAGCCTAGGCAACTTGGCAAGACCTTGTCTCTACAATATATAAAAAAAAATTCGCTGGGCATGGTGATGCACACCTGTGGTTCCTGATACTTGGAAGGCTGTGGTAGAAGAATCACTTGAGCCCAGCAGGTCGAGGCTGCAGTGGCCATGAGTGTGCCACTGAGCACCAGCCTGGGTGACAGAGTAAGAAAGGAAAAACAGTTAATAAATAAAAAAGCTTGGACACTAGAGGGAGACTCCTTGGGTTCAGATCCTGATTCTGTCACTTACCTAGCTCGTAACCTTAAGTAAATCACTTAGACATTTTGTGACTTATTTTTTTCATCTGTCAAATGGGTACAATAAGAATATATATTTTTGAAGGTTGCTGTGATAACTAAATGAGGTAAACAATACATAGTACAATGCCTGGTATATAATAAATACTCGACTAAATGTAGCTATTATTAGGAAGTGGCAGTAGTAGGAAGAACTCAATAGGCTTTTTGAATGATTCTTACATGATAGCTCTTAACATAGGTAATGACGTGGATCCAGCACTTGATCCCCAAGATTGAAGATGGAAATGATTTTGGAGTAGCAATCCAGGTAAGAAATGAGGACACTGAGGACACTGAGTGTGGGAAGAGACTTGGGAAGTGAGAGGTAAGAGCTAGAAGTGAACTATGAGGAGGACGGAGATAGTATGTGAGGGATAGAGAAGATGAGGTGTTTTCTTTGCCTCCCATGTCACCACAGGAAAAGGTGCTGGAGAGGGTGAATGCGGTCAAGACCAAAGTGGAAGCCTTCCAGACAACCATTTCCAAGTGAGGGCTGCAGGAGGACCAGCATGGGGGAGCTGTGGGGACATTTCTTTGGGATTCCCAAAGCTGGGCAGTCCTATCAGGACGATGAAAGACTTTGGCATTGATCTCATGGAGTACGTCTCCCTAAACACTCATTCCTATGGTATTTCCTTGCTTCTGGCAGGTACTTCTCAGAACGTGGGGATGCTGTTTCCAAGGCCTCCAAGGAGACCCATGTAGTGAGTGGATAGTCTACCAGACATTCAGCTGGCTGGGGGTGGGACTGGGGAGGAGAAGAGGTCCTCCTTGTCTTGTTTATGAATTTCCCAATGTGGAAAATATTAAGCCAAAAGCATTGCCTAGAGAAACTGATTTGAGCTTCTGCAACCTTGACCCTTCTCTCTGCTTGTTCCTTTGGTATCCTGTTTCTTGGTGCTGAGAAAGGGCTCATCCTCAAGTTAACCTGTTCCCTATATAAGGAAACCAGACTAATGTCCCAGCCTCCCATGGGGCTGACTCAACTTTGTCTCCCACATCCCAGATGGATTACCGGACCTTGGTACATGAGCGAGATGAGGCAGCTTATGATGAGCTCAGGGCCATGGTGCTGGACCTGAGGGCCTTCTATGTGAGTATGGAGTGAACTCCCAAGGGAGGTAAGATGAGTTGAGGGGAGTGAATTGGTAAAGAACCTGACACTTGCTTTCTGGTCTTCTCCTAGGCTGAGCTTTATTATATCATCAGCAACAACCTGGAGAAAATTGTCAACCCAAAGGGTGAAGAGAAGCCATCTATGTACTGAGCCCTGGGCTAGAAGGAAAATAAATGACCTAAATACTTAGTGTGGATTACCTCTAGTGCATGTCATTCATTCAAAAAGCATTTATTGAGTGTCACCTATGTCCAGAGTCTGAAGATGAATGTGGTGGCGGGAAGGGTGGGGGTACTAGGAAGACAAAGATGAATTAGCTGCTCATCCTGGTCTTAAGTTCTCCTAAAAAAACAGAGTGGGAATTGCTACATGCATGACAGTCATGCAGATAACCTGTATATCAGAAGATTATTTCCATCCGAAGGTCCTGTAAGTTCTTCATGGAAGAGATGGCATTTGGGCAGTGCCCTTATAGGAATAATCAGTCTTTGGATAGACAAGGGAAAGCTCTGTGGCTGAGGTCAGGGAATGAAGAAAGGAACAATCCTTATCAGTGCAGGGCAAGCCTAGAAGGAGAATGGTGTTTCATTGAGAGGACTGTGGATGAATGACTGAACTCCTCAAGGGCTGGGAGAGAAAAAATGCTCCCAAGGCATTGTGGTGAAGGAAATACACCACAGGACATTATGTGAAAGATGAATCTAATTTTTTCTTCTTGTCCTTTCTACTTCTCCTTCAGCCAATACCTGTCTTTATCTCTGCCCTTTGTGATTCAGCCCTGGATGTGTGGTGGAGACAAGGGTTTCCCTGCTGTGGTCTTTGCTATAAATTCCATGGGACTGCTCTTTAAGTCAGGACCTTGTCCTGTTTTAAAATATGAGATAAGAATGTGCTGCCTAGCCTTGAAAGTTTGAAACCCGTCTCCATACATATCTCATTTAGTCTTTAATAAGGACCATTGGCAACAGATATTACAGTAAAGAAACCAAAAGCCAGATAACCTGCAATCGCGAAGATGACACGGCTCATTAGTAAGTGACAGAGCCGGGTTAGGGAACAGATCCACTCATTACAAATAGGAGCAGAGAGGTCCGCTCTGCCCGTGGTGCTAGGGGACACCTGGCTACAGGCCGGGTGCTCTGAGGGACCCGTAGTAACCCAGGTAACAGGCTAAGCCACCGGGTAGCCCAGCCAATAAGAGTGCGGGCAATTTTCTTGCCTTTACAACTGTGGGTTCTTTGCAGTTCGCTGGAGACAAAGGCAGGGCAAGGTTTGGACGTGGCCGGTGATTGGACAAAACGAGAACCTCTAGCCCTATCAAAGAGCACCACGTGGGCGGGACTCCTGGAACCGGTCGGTCTGGGAGCTGCCGGCTCTGGGTGCCCGGACAGGCGCTGAGCTGCGGCCACCCGCTAGAGGGTAGAGGAGGCGGGGCTCCAGGCTGAGGGATGAAATCTGGACCTCCTTCTGGGCCGGGCTGGGGACGGGCTCCGGGACCGAGGTCGCCCGGAGCCGGCGGGCTGCCTTTGAGCCGAGTTAGCGCCATCATCGAGCCTAAGTGAGGGGGCACCGGGGAGGGTTGAGGAGGGCACCGGAGCGCTGGAGGGAGCTTTACAGACGCGGGCTAGGGATTGGCTCGCCCGGGCAGGGTGGAGAACCGGCACTAATCAGTTTGCTCCTTCCCTGGTAGGCCCCGCTCGCCATGGGGGAAGTGGAGATCTCGGCCCGTGCCTACGTGAAGATGTGCCTGCACGCCGCCCGGTACCCACACGCCGCAGTCAACGGGCTGTTGCTGGCACCGGCGCCGCGGTCCGGAGAATGCCTGTGCCTCACCGACTGTGTGCCCCTCTTCCACAGCCACCTGGCCCTGTCCGTCATGTTGGAGGTCGCCCTCAATCAGGTGCCTCCGTTGGACGCCCATCCCCCACCGCGAACCCACCGAACACCCCTAGCCCAAGTTCATCCCCGGCACCTGGGCAGCAGTGCGCACTCACAAGACCAGGGGCGCGATTTAGTAATTGATGGTCCGTTTCCCACGACAGGTGGATGTGTGGGGCGCACAGGCCGGTCTGGTGGTGACGGGGTACTACCATGCCAATGCAGCTCTGAACGATCAGAGGTGAGTGGGGCAGCCAGAGGTAGAAGGCAAAGGATTATGGTGTGGTGAGGATGCGGGCGGGGCGCGCCAGAGAACCAAGGTCATATCTTTCATCTTTCCTTCATCAAACGCTTAGGAGCCGGGGCTTACATTAGGCACTATGCTGGGTACTGGAATGAGGAAATATAAAGATAGGTCAAAGCCCTGTCCTGGAGCAGCTGCCTTGGGGGTGGGGAGGACAACTGTGTGTCAACAACAGGTGATAATGCATTAACTGAGGTATCTCTCCAAGTGCTGAAAGCCCAACCAGCAACTTAAAAAATAAGGAAATTCACGTATATATGGTTCGAGTTAGAAATACCGTTGTGGAATTTGTTTCCCCCCCTCACTTAATAAATATTCGATCTTTGCATTTCCACACCAAGATCTACCTTACCCTAACAGCTATGTAGTATGACTATCGGATGTACTGCCAGGCGCGCTGGCTCATGCCGTATAATCCTAGCACTTTGGGAGGCGGAGGCAAGAGGATTGCCTGAGCCCAGGATTTCAAGACCAGGCAGAGGCCAGTGGATTGCTTGGGCCCAGAATTTTGAGACCAGTCTGGGCAATTTGGCGAGACCTCGTCTCTACAATAATTTAAAAAATTAGCTGGGCTTGGTGGCCTGTGCCTGGGGTTCCAGCTACTTGGAAGGCTGAGGCAACAAGATTGCCTGAGCCCAGCAGTTTGAGGCTGCGGTGGCTGTGAGCTGTGCCACTGCACTCCAACCTGGGCAACAGTGAGACTGACTCAAAAAAAAAAAAAAAAAAGACTGGGTGTGGTGGCTCAAGCCTGTAATCCCAGCACTTTGGGAGGCTGAGGCAAGAGGATTGCCTGAGCCCAGGGGTTCCAGATCAGCCTGGGCAACTTGGTGAGACTTTGTCTCTACAGTCCATCAAAAAATTAGCTGGAGGTGGTAACACACACCTGTAGTTTCAGCTACTTGGAAGGCTGAAGCAGAAGGATCGCCTGAGCCCAGCAGATCAACACTGGGGTGACTGTGAGCACTCCAGCCTGTGCAACAGAGTGAGACTTGGACTCCAAAAAAAAAAAAAAAGGCTGGGTGCAGTGGTGCATGCCTATAATCTCAGCACTTTGGGAGGCCGAGGTGAAAGGATTGCCCAAGCCCAAGTTTCCGAGACCAGCCTGGGCAACGTGGCGAGCTTCATCTCTACAATAAATAAAAAAATTAGCAGGGTGTGGTGGCACATGCCTGTAATTCTGGCTACTTGGAAGGCTGAGGCAGAAGTTTTGTCTGAGCCCAGCAAGTAGAGGCTGCAGTGACCGTGAGCATGCCACTGCACTCCAGCCTAGGTGACAGAGTGAGACTCTGACTCAAAAAAAAAAAAAAAAAAGAATATGGATATACCATAATTTATTTAATACCTTACATTTGACATTGAGGTTGTTTGCAATTTTTTATTACAGACACAGTCCTGTTATTACAGTACATTCTTTTTAAGTGGAATTTCTGAGTCATCATATGTATAGTATACAGTTTCAATTTGGATGGTTATGCCAAATTACTCTCCAGAAAGAACACCTTTGATTTCCACGCTCACCAGCAGTGTCTGAGCACCTGTTTCCCACAGCACTCAAGCATCCAACAGTCATGCATCAAGCATCCAGCAGGCACAATCCCCCCAGGCCAGCTACAGGGAAAGGCCACAGCTGCACCCACATCTATGAGACCTGGGAGACCTGACTGAAATAGACAAGTTTTGCCCACAGTTGGCTCCTCACTCCTCTGATCTTCCCTGTACACAGCCCTGGACCCCTGGCCTTGAAAATTGCTGGGCGAATTGCAGAATTCTTCCCTGATGCGGTACTTGTTATGGTGAGGCTTGGGTTTCAAGGTGGGGAGGTGGAGAGAAGGTAGAAAGGGGGATCCTTGAAGCGCTCATCTGTCCTTCTTTGTCCAACCAGTTGGATAACCAGAAACTGGTGCCTCAGCCTCGTGTGCCCCCAGTTATCGTCCTGGAAAACCAAGGTCTCCACTGGGTCCCCAAGGACAAGAACTTGTGAGTGTCCCACTCCCTCCACCTCTTCTTGGAAGCTCAAGGCACCTGGGCCTCCTCTGTCCTCGATCCTGCCCCAAGGGTCCTTCTCTAGACCCAACCTGTTAAGTCTCTGTCTAGCCACACTGCCTGCTGTTTGACCTCCATGGGGGTTACTATTTCAGAGTGATGTGGAGGGACTGGGAAGAGTCACGGCAGATGGTGGGAGCACTACTGGAGGGTCGGGCCCACCAGCACCTTGTAGACTTTGACTGCCACCTTGACGACATCCGGCAGGACTGGACCAACCAGCGGCTCAACACTCAAATCATCCAGTGGGTTGGTCCCACCAATGGAAATGCCTGAGCCAGGGCCAGGGGGAGGCAGGGTGTCAGGATCCAATAAAGAGACTGGGGCTGATGGGCAACAGTATGACTCTATTTATTGTGCCTGGGAGGCAAGGTAAGGGGAAAATCTCAACAGGATTAAGGTCTCTGCTGCACCCATCACAGAATGAAAGAAGGCTCTCAATAGATCATTCCCTTTGTTTCTCCCCTGGGCTTCTTAAGCTTCTCAAAGTTCTTCAGGATGATGTCATATAATACAGCCTACAGGTACAGGGAGGAGTAGGGGTCAGCCACAGACTCCCGGTGGTTCTGTGACCCATTTATAGTCTTGTGGAGAGGCTGAATTTTGTCACCCTTAACCCACAGCCTGCAGGAACAGGGAGTGGGTGGCCTGGGAAAGCTGCTTCTGCCCACCCCTGCCCTGCCCTCGCCTCCTCACATAAGCATTACGGATCTCCATGACCATCAGCCGGATGTCCCGGTACTCTGCCTCATCCAGCTCGTGCACCAGCTGCCGATAATCACCCTGTGGGAAACTCAGGGGTCAGTCCAGGCTTCACATGTGTTCTTTCCCCATGCACCCTGATCTGGGCCTCACCTACCACATGGGGCTGCTTGGCTGCTTTGGTCACAGCATCACCGCGCTCAGAGAAATACCTGTGGGAAGTAGGAGTGTGTATGGAATGAGAGGAAGCCCAGGTATGTGTCCCAAAACCAAGGCAGAGTGTGCATGTGGGGACAGGTGGGTGGTCACTCACTTAGAGATTTGAGTGTGGAAGCCTTCCAGTTTGGTGTGGAGGCTGGTCATCAGCTCAAATACTTTCTCCTGGGAAAAGAAAGCAAAAGAGAAAGGGGGAGGAAGCATGGACTAGAAAGGAGGACAAGGGAGTGGGGCAGCTCTCTCACCTGGACAGCTACTCCAAAATTATTCCCATCCTCAATCCGAGGTATCTGCAGCTGCAGCCATGTGGTAACCTGGGAGAAAGAAATGGCACCAAAGCCACATCAACTCTCTACCCAATTTCCAGGTTCCTATTCTCCCTTGCTTCCCTGCCTGCCCATGCTGGGTGGAGGAGTGCCAGGTCCACCCTGAGCCCTAGGATCTGGACTTCTCACTTCTCTTACTGTGCCCTCTCTTGCTGAGACCTGGCAAGTGCCATACCCAAACCAGGGGAACCAAGAGGACAAAGGGTTTGACCTAAAGTCTGAGGATGGAAGGGAAGGGCTCACCAGGTTGAGGTGCTCAATGACATCCTTGATCTCAGGTTTCAAGCGCTGCAGGAGGACCACAATCTTCTCATTGCAGTTCACTGGGCCACAGGGAGGACCTAGAGAGTGGGCAATAGGTCAGTCACATGATTGTGCCTGTGTAAGGAGTGGAGAAGGGGAGAGTGGAAAGGTATCCGCAGGAAGGCACTCCTGTGGGATAGGACGCAAGTCTCTACCCACCATAGTGGTTTCAAGTACCTTTGTCTTCATCTTCCCCTTTCTTCTTTTCATCCTTGTCTTCCTTCTGCAGGGAGAGAGGGGCTCAAGGGAGTCGGGTTTAAGGCTGATTTTCCCCATGGTTGGATCCCTCCTCCCAGGTCCTCCCGGCTTGCCTCCTGTTGTTTCTTTCTCTCCTCCTTCTCTTTCTCCTTGACTGGATCAGGCACCGGGATGTCCAAAGGGGCCTTCAGATTGCTCAGGTCGGCTTCATTGAGAGCTGGCTCCTGGTGTAGGGTGGGAGGACAGCTGGCGGTGAGGGTGCTCTTCTTACCTCCTCACTCTCATGGACTCCCCAGACCCTCCTTTTTTCTCTAGCTCCCTGCCCAGCCCCAGTACCTTTAAAAATGCATCCAACTCAGAAATCTTCTTGGGGAAATAGCTCCCGAGCAGGTCCTCTGTCTGTGTGTGAGGAAGGGGTGGAGGAGGAAGGGGTCAGCATCACATATCCTTCCTAGGCAGTGTGGCAGGGGAGCAGTAGGGGTTGAATAGGGGGCATTGATGGGGCAGGTCTTACCTTGGTACACAGGTCTTCGCGAAACACATCCACCTGTGGGGCGCAGGCAACCTTTTAGAAACCTGGCTTTAAGGTCAGTTCATTTGAGGACAGTTCCCTTAGGGTTGTGTTGGGCCTGACCTGGGGAAGGGTGGAGTGGATCCCTCTAAGGCCAGATCTGAAGAAGGCGAGAGGGATCCCTGGGAGGGTGGACTGGGGCAATGGACGAGGGGATCTTTGCAGACCTGGATCTGGGGAGAGTGGAGTGGATACCCGTGGGGCTGGATCTGGGAGGTGAGAATATTCCCTGTGGTGGAGGGCAAGTGGTTCCTGTAAGAACGGGTCCCTGGGGTCTCCTGGGCTGTGTGAGGAGGGGTGTTGAGAGCCCTCTGCTTGTGGGGCAGGGACGGAGTGCCCCGTGGGGCAGGCCCCGTGGAGCAGGCCCGGGACAGTGGTGAGCCATACCAGGGCCCTCCCTGAGGGAAGACCAAGAGGAGTCAGGGGAGGTCCCGCACCGCGCCTGCCAGCGGCCCCGGCTCCAGGCCGGCGGAGTTCCCCTCCACGCCGTCTCTCCGCTTCACCTCACCCCGTTGGACCACGGCCGCCTCGCCTCTCCCCGCAGGCAGCCGAGGCCGGGGTCTCCGGGGCTCAGGTGCTCGGGGCCCTTAGGCTCGGTTGACCGACCCCGGCCCGCGTCGGGGCCCGGGGGCGGGTCAGCGATGTCCTCAGCCTCTCGCAGCCACGCCTCCCCGGTGGGCCCTCCTGGAACCCGGCGCTCACCTTGGCTTGGGCCTCGGGCTGGACCCTGAGCGTGGCCATGGCCGGGCGAGGGCCCTCGCGCCGCACGAGGAGCGAGGAGCGGGCACGGGAAGGGAAAGCGAAAGCAGCGCTGCAACCCTCGCGGCCTTCCTGGGGAACCGGGAGTGGAGGACGAGGGGGCGGGAACGGCCCTGCGATGGGCGGGG